CCCCCTGGGACCGCCCACCCGCCCCGACAGACCAGAGAGACCCCCCACGGTCACAGAGAAACCACTGAAGGGGCCCCCCACAACCACCAAGGCAACAACCACAACAACCAAGGGGACCACAACAACCAGGAGGACCACCACCACCACCAAGGGGACAACAACCACCCAGAGCACCGCCATCAGCCTGACCAGAGCTCCCCCCGTCACCACACCCAGAGTGACCCCCCTCACCAGGCAGTACCTCTGCAATGTCACCAAGCCGGAGATGTACCTGGTCCGAGTCGGTGAGTAATACAACAATATAAATTTCCCCTCTGCTGGACGAAAAAGGGATTCTGATTCTGATCTGGTTCTGGCAGTGTTTCAGTTTCCTCTCTCTGTTTCCTGCAGTGAGCTCCAAAGGATCCTCATCAGGCTTCAGCGCCGTCAGAGATCTTCTGAAGAGAGAGTTCAATCGCTCCGTGGAGCTGCAGGTAAACCTGGTCCTCCAACAGCTGACCCTCAGAGGTCCACTTTGATCCGGTTCTGTTCCGTTAGGGTTAGGGTTACTGGTTAGTTGATCTTTGGCCTCCTCTCTCAGTTCCTCAGAACCCCGTCCAGTTTTGCCTTCCGGGTGGTGTCCGGGCCTCTGATCTTCACCGCGGTGTCGGTGGTTTCGGCGCTCCGCCGGGCCCCCCGCGGCTCCGGACCCGTCCCCTCCGTGGCAACGCTGTTCAGCGAGCCGGACCTCCGGTACCAGGTCCACTCGGTGCTGCAGTTCGTCCCCGAACACGTGGACGTCCGGGTCTGCAGCTTCAGCCAGAGGGTCGAGAGAGGCCTTGTTCTGGCCTACACCGAGACCCGCCGACGCCACCAGGAAGCGGGGAACATCTCCGTACAGGTGAGGGAACATCTCCGTACAGGTGAGGGAACATCTCCGTACAGGTGATCTCTGTACAGCTCTGTAAAGGTGAGCTCTGTACAGGTGAGGCCCTGTACAGGTGAGCTCTTTACAGTTGAGGCTCTGTACAGGTGAGCTCTGTACAGGTGAGCTGTGTACAGGTGAGACTCTGTACAGGTGAGGCTCTGTACAGGTGAGGCTCTGTACAGATGAGGCTCTGTACAGGTGAGCTCTGTACAGGTGAGGCTCTGTACAGGTGAGGCTCTGTACAGGTGAGGCTCTGTACAGGTAAGCTCTGTACAGGTGAGCTCTGTACAGGTGAGGCTATTGTACAGGTGAGGCTCTGTACAGGTGAGCTCTGTACAGGTGAGCTCTGTACAGGTGAGGCTCTGTACAGGTGAGGCTCTGTACAGGTGAGCTGTGTACAGGTGAGGCTGCTTTACTAACCGGATCTACCTCTGTGTCTCCAGCTGCTGAACATCACGACGGCCGTCTCTCGGCCCGCGGCGGCGAAGGTTTCTGTCGAAATTAAGTTTGCGGTGCGAGATGGGCGGGGCCTCCTGCTGGGGTCGGAGGTCAGCGAACACCTGAGGAAGCTCAGCCCGGTGGAGTTCAGCTTCTACATCGGGTTCCCCGCGCTGCAGATCGCTGAGCGTACGACACACACACACACACACACACACACACACACACACACACACACACATGA